CAACACTAGTGGGGACAGTCCCTCTGGAAAGAAATGCATTTTAAGCCAATAAATGATCATCATCTTCCAGGCTCTTACCTGAGAGAAAGGAAGGCAAACTGTCCCTGCTTGTCTTGTCCTTCCTTGATTGTGATGCCGCTTACAGTAATACCTGCTTGTGTCCTTAGTAATGATTCACAAAGAATATTGGATCTTTGCAAGTAGGAGTGAGAAAAATCTAATGATTTTGAAGCAAGTCTCTGTGATAGAAAGAGATCTATTTGAAATAATAAAAGAAAACCAGCAAAGTAGGTTCCAAAGAGAAGCAAAAAGCATAATTATAACAACAATAAAGGGAGAAAAGCACAGATTTGCAATTCATATTAGTCATAAAATCAAAATCTACAACCTACGGTAATTGCTCATAATTCTGAGTGATTACTAGCTGAAGCACAGATGGCTCCTGCGATATGGATGAGTAAGTTCTGACAAGTTTTTGTACATCAGGTAGATAATGGTAAGGGATAAGAATAAATGGATGACGTACTAAGATCATTGGAAATTGCTATTTTATTTTATTTTTCTTTGACTTTACTATTTTTTACTTTTTTCTATCTTTTCATATCTTTTTCTCTTTTTTAAATTTTTTTTCTTTATGTTCCTGAAGTTTTAAATTATGTAGAACATTCTAAAATTTTGTGCTCATGTACATACATAAAAAGAAGGGCTTCAACTCATAGTCTGTGGGCCATGTGAGGCCCTAAGTTATTTTCTGTTTTCTGTAATAATATTTATGAACTAACATACCCAGAGAATACATATCTCAGCTGGAAAAGATTACTTCAAAAAGAGAACATTGCTCCCTGGTTTTTTGAAAGGATGTAATTTAATTTATTTACTATTAAATTTATATGTCACCTATCTTGTTATCCAAAGTGATATTAAAGTGTTTATATAGCCACCAATCTTCTAACTAATTCTCAATGGTTCCCAATCAAAGGTTAAAATAACATATAAAATCATACTAAAACTATAAAACTAAAAAGATTTAAAAAAAACAAAGACTTGGCAGCCTTCTAATGTGCAACGATCTAATCTTATCCTAGTGCTTTGGAGGAAAAAACAGGTCTAGAAAGCTGGAAAAGAAGAGGGTAAATAGGATCACCGACATGATCGCCAATGTCCAATGACAGATATGGCGCAAGAAGAAGAGGGTAGAGGTCAGCAAAAATTGAGGGGGATGAATTTCCTTAGGGCAGAGGCTGCCATGGAAAAGGTATATTCTGCAGTTGAGACTCTTTGAAGTTGTATGTCTGTGGGTGGCATTCCTCAAGCGAAGGTCGGCGCTTCATTCCTGTGACAGTTGAGAACAGCCATGGATCGCTACTAAAAGGGAGAAAGAGACGCGGCTGTCAAATTGCCACTGCACTACTTCTAGCAAGCCAATTGCCTTCCTTCTTGCCGTGTCGCATCTGGAGGCTGCCTTTTGATCACTTCAGATCGGGCTTTACCGGCGGTGCTAGCAGAGTGTTTGGAGAGGCAAAGCTGCACGAACTGAGAGACAGGTAGGTGAGCAAAATGCAGACCAAAATTGCCACTGCCAATTCTACCTCTGTCCTCACTTTATCAATGCAGTTGCGGGCTGTCTCAGGCAATTAAGAAGGGCATGAACAGCCATTTTCTAACCAGCTGTCAAATTCTGCCAAGATGGTGGATGCTGTTTCTGTCATTGATAATGGACCTTTGAGCCCAGACAGGGTAGGCTCCAATCAGGGGCTCCTGATTGCAGTGGAGACTTCCACCTCCCAGGCAGGGGATGACCCTAAAGGGCGTAAGAAAGCTGAAAAGTCTTCTAGCCATTCATCTAAAGGCCAGACCTCCTCTAAATCAGCCTTCAGGTCTGAGAAGGGGAAAGACCAGTCCACTAGCACTAAAGGCTCCAAATCTACGTCTCACAGGCCTTCTTCCTCTTCCTCAAAGGGGAATCGGGTCACTGGTAAGGAGCAGTAGGTCTTTCCAGCTCTCACCTGTTTGTTTGG